GTAGTAACAAGAAGCTATTAAAAACAATCAAAACCAAGGAGCACATGGATGAAACCTGAACAAACTGCACGGGCCACAAGGTCGGCTTCGAGCATTCCACTATAACGCCAGCCATTGATTCGGATGGCCCTAGGAGACCAAGCCTGAGTGCGGGTGCCGTTCGTGCCGTTAGGAATAAGAAAGCTGTAGCATAAGGAACCCAACAGGAACAAGTGCCTTACTAGTAGTAACAAGAAGCTACTAGGAACCCAACAGGAATGGCTTTTGGCGTCCAACCTAATAGCAATTGCCTCCAACCTAATAGGAATGGAGGCCATCAAATGGCCCCGACCTACTAGCAATGGCCTCCAACAAACTAGCAATGGCCTCCAACCAACTAGCACTGGCCTCCAACCAACCAGCAATGGCCTCCAACCTACTAGTGCTGGCCTCCAACCTCATAGCGATGGCCTCCAACCTACTAGCAATGGCCTCCAACAAACTAGCAATGGCCTCCAACCAACTAGCACTGGCCTCCAACCTACTAGCAATGGCCTCCAACCTACTAGCACTGGCCTCCAACCAACTAGCAATGGCCTCCAACCTACTAGCACTGGCCTCCAACCTCATAGCGATGGCCTCCAACCTACTAGCACTGGCCTCCAACCTCATAGCGATGGCCTCCAACCTCATAGCGAATATTCCTAATAGTGAAATATGTTGGAGTGTCAAGGCCAATGTTCCAAAGTTTCTAGTAGCTTCTAGTAGCTTCTTCGGCACAAATGCTCAACTTCTCTTCCGAGGCAGTGACAGGGTTCTCCAACTCGTGTTGCAATAGCCTGGCAAGACCGACGATGTCGTCGATGGGAAGAATCCTGTGTCTGAACATTTCAGTACTTGACAAGCATGCAGTGCAAAAACCTATTTGAAAAGGGCCATGACACCGACGCTAAACTTTGCCAGTGTGCGAATCTTTCTGATGCAACACACATTTTTGTATCTCTTTGGAATCGATGCCAACCTGGCAAGATGGAAGGAGGGCGCGGCGCAATGTACTCGTTTTCATCTGAAACCCACCAGCCCCGCAAACTACGAGCGGTGTAACTGGCAGTAGCATCAGCTTAGTTACTGTAGCTTATATTATATGAATATATGTGTAATATGGGTTACAAGGACGCTACTAGGAGCAAAGGGCATCGCTGCTAGGAGCAAACACGCTACTAGGGGCTCCTGGCATCGCTACTAGGAGCATTCTTACTACTAGTAATAGAATTAAAAGTAATTAAACAATCATTATATGTGCCATCTGCTCGCTAGTAGATTGGAGCCCATCGTTAGGATTCTTTGGTGTCTTCATTCGTCATGTGTCATGTGTCACGTGCTCTGTCCGGTCTGAGTCCAGTCCTCCTTCATAACCTTCTCAGAGCAATCCTCCCCAAAGCGATCGCTCCCGGTACCAGAGAGTGGACACCTGGGACCATCCACCTCTTGCTGTCAGCTCTTACTTCTCAGCGTTTCTCGTTTCTCCCCACATCCACAGCTTCGTCTTTTTCATTGCTTCCTTTTGCTTTCTCGTTTTTCGTGTTCCACCTGTCCAGGAACTTTTCCATGTAGTCCCAGTATTTTGCAGCATACCTTCGGAGGACCGTGTTTCCAACGACGATTGTTGGCCCTGTTGCCCTGTTTGGCTGACTTGGCACCCACATGAAATGACAGAAAAAAGCGTCCACATCCCCTGCAAACGTACATAGTATATTTTCACGTTGCTTTTCTCTTTTCCACTGGATTCTGTGTGTTCTCACAGTGCTTGTGCTTGCGAAGCTTGTGCGCATTTTCTCGTGCGTTTTGGGATCTTTCGAGCGCAGAAAGGTAGACACATCCGATTCCTCGATGTGAAGCCTCCGTTTCCTGTTTTGGTGCTAAGATCCGTGGAGATGGAGCTACATGAAAAAACGGAATATCGCTGAGTTGTTGGACTTTTGAAGTTAGGAGCAAGGACGCTACTAGGGGCTCCTGGCATCGCTACTAGGAGCAAGGATGCTACTAGTTAAGTTTCCCCAATCTAGGAACCAAATCAGTGCGTGCGAGCGCTTCTTGAAGGAAGCGTGAGCTATCCTGCGTCCTCTACCTCTCCCTTACTTAATCAAATAGGCGCCTACTTAATTAAGTAGGGAGGGGCCGGAGTGGGCAGCAAAAAAACAAAAGGAAAGTGATATTTTAACATTCGATTTGATTAAAACAAAAAAAAGGTACAGTAAACTCAGGGAAGCACTCAGCGAGAGAACTCACCAATTCTCAGAGAGTATAAGAAAATGTCTAAAACAGAAAAACAAAAGGCAATGGAAGGCAAGGGCGCCGAGTGCAATAGTTCGCGTTGCAATTCTGCACCAAGGGGAAAACAATTTCTCCTCAAAAAGAGTTCCCTCTACAAAAGCTTGTGTTACCGTTGGATGGTCCTTGGTTGTTCTGGTTGCCTTGCATCATATTTTTACCGTTTTTAGCTTGTGACTCGATGAACGACTCGATCCGTGGCTTTTCTTTTCAAGTGGCTCCACCGTTCCCGCGCTCACAAGGCCCTGGAGCCCCGTCGTGGGGGTCAAGTCCATTGGTCTCTGGGCGACCTCGAAGCAAAGGAATGAAGTGAACACCTGCTATTAGTAACAAGTGCATCGCTACTAGTAACAAGTGCCTTACTAGTAGTAACAAGAAGCTACTAGGAACAAAAGAGTGAACACAACAACCAAAAGTTCGTTAAGGCGACCTCGTTGCGATGGCCTCCACCCTACTAGCGATGGCCTCCCAACCTACTAGCGATGGCCTCCAACCTACAAGAAAAATATCGTTGACAAAGAAATCATTATGTTAAAAAAAAAGAAACATGTGTTGGGACATGAAAATGGCTTCTTAGGGCTGGCCTTGTACTTCTGGTGGATGCACAGTTGCCGCACATCTTCCATGAGCACCTCAGCACGGCCCAGCTCAACTAAGAGCAATGGCCTCCAACCTAATAGCAAACTAATAGCTTCTTGTTACTAGTAGTAAGGCACTTGTTACTAGTAGCGATGCACTTGTTACTAGTAGCTTATTGTTTCTGTGAGTTGTACGCTGTACAACATGCTTTTGACATGTCACCACCCGTCCCGCTACCGCAGGGCGGGCTCATGAGTCGAAAACGGTCCGCGGACGTGACGCGCTCGCGCGTCGTTCAATTCGCTTCGTGGTGTGTCTTGGCCTTGACTTGCTCTACTTTCCCTACTACGTGGGCCTCGACTATACACCCTTCGCTATCCTGGACCTCGTTTGCCATCGATAGCTTCGCATTGGTAGCGGAGCCCAAACCCGTGAAGGGGGAGGGCTCCAGCTGCGCACTCCGGTTCCTCGAGCCGCACGCTCTCGACAAGTCCTTCGGTGACTTCCCTCTGCGGACTTGGCCACGCTCCTGTTTCCTGAGTTCTTTGTTGGACACCCTTTTGGGAGGAGCACGGCGGAGATCTTTGTCCCACAGAATGCCGCCGCCAAAGCAGCAGAAGGGAGATGGAAGAGGAGCGTCGAGCTCGACGACATCCAAGTCAGATGAGACTGGCTATGCTGACCTTCGGGACTCCTATGTTCCCCTCTTCTCCGGGCAGCCGGCCGACTACAAGGAGTGGCGTCAACGCATCCAGCTCTACCACCGCAAGATGTCGCTCTCCAAACGGTCCCAAGAGAGTGTTTTGAACATTGTCGGATCGTTCAAAGGTGTAGTCTGGCGCCTATTCGAAGACTGGGGCATCGACAAGCTGGAGAAGGACAACGCCTTTGAAGACATGCTCAAGGCGTTGGATGGCAATTTCGCCTACGACCAACGGGTCCAGTTGCCATCGGACTTCGAAGGCTACTTCTCAGGTCTTCAACGGCTCCCTGGTCAGACGCTTCTCACCTACGTCAATGACCACGAAGAGGCCTACAGGAAGCTCTTGGCACACAAGGTGAGCCTTCCTGATGAAGTCCAAGGTTGGCACCTCCTCCGTCGCGCAGCGCTGACGAAAGAACAGCGACAACTCCTGATGCTGAAGGCACCCACCCTCGAGAAGGCCACAGTCATTGAGGCCATGTACCTGATTCTTGGACAAGACTATAAGGGTGGAGGTTGGAACCACGACCGCAACCGGCGATTCTCCAAGTGGACCAACAAGGCCTACACTGCTCAGGATGATTGGGAGGAGATGGGTGAAGAACCAGTCTGGGAGGAGACTGGCTACTACGAGGAGGACTACCCCATCGGGGACTATGACCATGAGGAGGGTGATTTTGATGATGAAGCTGGTTACTATGGAGGTCAGGACGATGAAGCACCCTGGCCGGACTCCAATGAGACCACGAGTCCAGAGCAGATGGCTGAAGAGTTTGACACTGCCTTCGCCTCCTAAACAGACGCTCGCAAACGCTTCAATGAGTTGAAGATGGCTCGTGGCTTTCTCCCTGTGGTTGCACTCACTGAGCAACAGCCTCTGCAGACAGCAGCTTCTTCGTCCTCATCCCCTACGGCATCCTCATGGCAGAGAAAAGGAAAAGGAAAAGGGGAAAAGAACAAAGGAAAAGGTCGTGGCCCCTCGGCGACCATTCGATTCTCCCCACAAGGAGCTGGAAAGAGTGATCCGAAAGGAAGAGCACGCGCCAACATGACGTGCCTTCGTTGTGGACAACAAGGTCATTGGGCTGCAAACTGTCCACAATCCAGCTCGCCTACCTCAAAGGGCTCAAGCTTGAAGCGACCTGCACCAACCGAGAGCATGGCACAAGTGGCTGAACAAGCCCTGATCATATTCGAGGACAAGAACGGCACTCAGCGTCCTGACTGTGTGATGCTGGATCCTGGTGCCAGTGCCTTTCTCTCAGGATATGGTCCCTTCCGTCGCTACTTGGAGCACCTCAAGTTCGACTGCAACTTCCCCATCGAGAAGATTGCCATGACCCAAGGAAAACGAAGGTTCCAGTTTGGTGGCGATGCTGCATCTTGGTCTACCTGGTCGGCACACCTCCCAGTGTTCCTGGATGGTCGCTATGGAACAGTGCAGTTGTTCCTCTTGCCCGGTAACACGCCTATGTTGCGCGGTCGCCCCATCATCGAGGCTCTTGGGATGACCATGGACTTTGCCATGAAGCGAATTCGCATTGGCAGTTCAAGTTGGCAAGAAGCAACCATTGGCCGTCAAGGTGAGTATTTGCTCTCGCTCACGATGGAGCACGACCTTATGCAGTACGACCCTGACCAGCCTGACTTCGCCCTCAAGACCGCTGAACCTGATCTACCGCAGATTGATGGCTTCATCCTGCGCGACTTTGAGCAGGAGGAACAAGGGTTCACAGTCAGTGAACGAGCTGAAGTGGTGGACGACACTGCCACCAAATGTCTCCGACGACACGACCTCAACACCATGGACGTGCAGCTCAGGACTCACCTCAATGAGCTGTCAGCCTATGTGACACGTCACCTACATCCTCCAGAACAACAGCCGAAGCGTGTCCTCTGGGAGGTCTACTGTGGCTCAGCTCGTACTTCACAAGTGGCTGAAGCGCTGGGAATGAGTGTTCGATGTTTCTCACTGGATACTGGCTGGAACTTTGATCGACTTGACCATCAAGAAGCCTTCCTTCGTGAGCTCGATGAAGAAGCACCAGATGAGTTGCTCATGGCACCTGAATGCAAGCTCTGGAGTCGCATGCAAACCCTGGCACGAAGAACACCTGCACAACAAGAAGCACTGATTGCAGCTCGACATCATCACCATGATCGTCATCTGTGCTTCGTACGCCGCGCCTACCTCAAGCAGGTTGAAGGTGGACGACGCGCCCATGTGGAACAGCCCAAGCATGCACTCTCCTGGAAGACCAAAGCACTTCGGGACTTACCTGGTCGACGCGCCGACTTTGACCAATGTCGCTATGGAGCAACATGTCAAGATGAAGACATGGTCTGGCGCACAGTCAAGAAGAGCACCACCATCATGACCACCAAGCAGGCCATGCAGAATGCCCTCACGCTGACGTGCAATGGTGAACATGATCACTGTGCACTGGAAGGATCTGCTCTTGGTCTTGGCCCTCGCGCCAAGTACATGGAGAACTACCAGCCCGCACTTGCAAGCACCATTGCTTGCACTCCTCGTCGATGAAGCACCTCAAGCTTGGGAGACGGCACACACGTCCTCAGAGCAGAAGCTGGTGACTGGCAACTTGGTCAAGCTACGTGTTGATACGAAACAAGAGGCCATCCGAGTGGTTCAACGTCTCCACAGAAACCTTGGTCATCCTTCCACGAAAGAGCTCACCGAACTGCTGGCCGCTCGAGGAGCGAATGAAGAAGTACTTCGTGCTGCACGTTCCTATGTCTGTGTGGCATGCGCCAAGTACAAGAAGCCTGCAGATGCTGCACCGGCATCTCTACCTGTGAGCACCAAGTTCAACGATGTCTTGCAGGCAGATGTCTTCTGGCTGCGTCTCAAGAATGCCGTCAAGTACCCCGTCCTCAGTGTGGTTGACTTGGCAACTCGCTACACGGCAGCTATCTTGTTGCGCTCAGAGCAATCCGAGGAGCACATCCGTGGTCTTGAACGTTGCTGGATTGCACACTTCGGAGCCCCACAGCGACTTGTCACTGATGAAGGACGTGGATGGCTTAGTCAGACCTTTGAGACCTGGACCAACGCCCACGGCATTGAGCACACTGTGGCTCCTGGTGAGGCACATGAACGTCTGGCCATCGTTGAACGAAGACACGCCATCCTGCGCAAGTCCATTGAGGTCTACATGGATGATATGCAGCTGAACGACGCTTCTGGCATCAAGGAGGCGCTTACCTACTGTGTGCCCCAGATGAATGCACGCCTTCAGTTGCTGGCTTCTCTCCGACCCAATGGGTTCTTGGACACCAACCCCAACTCGCTGGCAGTCTTCTTGGTGACAACTTCCGCCCTGGACACTTTGGCGGACATGAAACCTTTGAGGCCATGTTGAACAAGCGCACCGCTGCTCAGAAAGCTTTGATCGAAGCTGATGCCGATCGTCGCCTTCGACGTGCTCTTGGTGCCAAGTACAAAGGTTTGAACTCCGAGTACAGCCTTGGTCAACAAGTTTGGTTTTGGCGTGACGCCAAACAGCCCGATCTGGTGAAGATTCGTTGGCTTGGCCCTGCCCAGATTGTCATGAAGGAGTTCAAGGCTGATGACACTGGACAGCAGCGAGTGAATGTATATTGGCTGGCCTACAAGACCCAATTGATTCGATGTGCACCTCACCACGTCCGTGCTGATGTCAAAAGCTCAGGACATGCCCTGGATGATGTGCAGAAAGCTCTCACTTCGGTTCGTCAGCTCAAGTCTCGAGGAGTGACTAGGTACTATGACCTGCACCACTTGAACAAGCGCAACCTCGCAGAGGTCGAGACAGATGAGCACTCCGAAGAGCTTCATGGTGATGTGATGGAAGAAGACTCTGATCACGAGATGACACCACCGAGACGACGACCACGCCTACTGCCACCTGGCGTGGAACCTCCTCAGGCCTCAGAAACTGCTGTGGCACCGACCTCCATGCCACCTGGCATTTCATCGGCGGCACCGGCAGTACCCTCGGCTGAGGAGTACGAACCAACATCACCAGCACACACAGAGCCACAAGACATAGCACCACCAGCGGCAGCGGCAGACACAAACGACACGGCAGCGGCAGATACACAAACCCCAGGTCCACTACCACGGGTCCCAAGCTCGATCTCAATATCCGAGCCAAGCGAGGAGCCGCCTGCCATCTCGGCAGCTCCAACACCTCATGCATCACGACCACAAGCAAGCATGACCCAGGAGCGACCATCGCTCGATCCGGTGACCGCCCAACTGTATGAGACAGTTGAAGGTGAAACCTTTCAGCAAAGGAGAGCTCGACTGAACAAGCAGGAGACTCTCAGCTTCGCGCCTTTCCGAAGCAGACCGAAGCCACCTGACACGAGGCCATATGATCCTGAACATCATCCACCTCGACCAAATGACGAGCATGAGCTAGCTGGCCAGGCCTTCTACCTGGACGACCTGGACACCAAAATGCTGCCCAGCGGATGGTTCATGGATGAACATGGATTCCTCCAACTATATGATCGCACTACCGACTACTGGGAGCTGAAAGCTGGCTGTCTGATCAGGCATCATGTTGTGCCCCGTCGTGGACGCCTACACCTTGAGCATCTTCCCAAGGATTGCCCGGTCAACCCTGACCAGCTGGACAGTGTGCGTGTGACACTGATTCACCAAGGTGGAGGCAAGAGCCGTTTGACCACTGACAGCGGCTATGATGGCAGTCCTCCCCCTGGAGTCGAACACACTTGGACTGGAGCAACCATCTTCCAGCTCAACGGCAATACTCGCAGAGAACTTGCTATGTACAGTGGACACCAACAGTTCACAAGTGCAAAACAGCAAGGAAAGGACCAAAAGCTCGCCAAACAGAAGAAGTTCAAGAAGGACAAGAGCGCAGTGAATGAGCGGGCATTGGGTCCACAAGAGCGAGCGATGTTCAAGGAGGCCAAGGTGAAGGAGTTGAAAAGTTTCTTTGACCACCATGTGTGGATCTTCCAGTCCACCAAAGAGGCAGACCCATCCAGGACTTTGACGTCAAGAATCCTGTTGAAGTGGTCTCGGAACCCTGACGGTTCTCCAAGGGCGAAAGCTAGATTGATCGTGCGCGGTTTTGCTGACCCCGACGCCCTAGCTGGAAGCATTGAGACATCAAGTCCTACCACAACTCGCCTGTCTCGCTCTATGTTGCTGTCCTTGGCCACCACCATGCACTGGACCACCTGGACCGCTGACGTGAGCACCGCCTTCTTGCAGGGGCGTGAACAGGACAGAAAGTTGTGGGTAAAGTTGCCATCGGAAGCGCTGGCTCTCTTGGGTGCAGATGAAGACACCCGCATGTTGCTTCTGAAGCCCTGCTACGGCCAGATCGATGTGCCCAGAGGCTGGTATCTTGAGGCAGTTGACCGCCTTCGTCGTGGAGGTCTTCGGCAACACGCCCTCGATCCATGTGCATTTCTCATCTATGAGACTGATGATGACAACTTCAATGAGAACGACCCCATCCACCAACAGGTCAACTCACTGGGATCTGAACGCCTGGTGGGCATGGTCATCATGCACGTGGACGACCTTCTGGGAGCCGGCTGCCTGAATAGCCCTCGATATGCTGCAGTCATTGAACAGCTCAAAGAAAACTTCTCCTTCCGGGAGTGGGAGGAAGATCTTGATGTGATGGAGTATTGTGGTTGTGAGCTGCAGCGCACACCTGAAGGTGGAAGAAAATTGCACCAAGGCAAATACTTTGACAAGGTCAAGCCCATTGCCTATGACAAGAAGCTTCCTCTCCACCAGCCGCTCAACGAGCGTGAAGTGACTCAGTTGAGGGGCCTACTTGGTTCACTGCAGTGGCCTGCAGTACAGACCTCACCACACCTACAGTGCAGCACATCGTTGATGGCCGCCCACGTCTCCCATGCCACTCTGCAGACCGTCCAGGACTGCAACAGATTGCTGAAGTTTGCAAAAGAGAACAAGCACATTGGCCTTGTCTACAACCACCTCGGTCCCACAGAGAAGCTGCGTTTGTTGTGTTTCTTTGATGCTGGTTTCTCCACTCGCCTCGATGGGTCATCGCAAGGTGGCTATGTGTTGATGATGGTCAACGAGGACCTCATGCATTCCGCCGAGGAGGGAGAATATCACATTTTGGATTGGCGCAGCTTCAAACCGAGGGTGGCGAGGTCATCTTTGGGAGCTGAGGCACAAGCTGGCGGTCAAGCCAGCGACGCCGTCGACTTTGCCTGTCGGTTTTGGCACCACCTCATGGAGCCCCACATGCCCTTGAAGCAGTTGCTGGAGGTTCAGTCCTCCCTGAAGCCTGTGATGATCACAGATGCAAAAGCTCTTTACGACGCTTTTCATCGTGAAGGTGCAAGCTCATCCGTCGTGGACAAGCGTGTGAGCCTGGAGATTCGTGTGATGAAGGAGCGCTTGCTGGAACTTGGGGGAAACCTCAAATGGATGAGCAGCGATCGCCAGGTCGCCGATGGCCTGACTAAGGAATCTGCTCGAACTTTGTTTGCAGCTCGCCTGAAGCACCAAAAGCTGAAGCTCACCTGGGATCCCACCTACAAGGCGATGAAGAAAAAGACCAAAGACGAGAAGAACACAGCCTTGGCTGAGACAACCTCCCAGGTCCATCATCAGAAGCCTGGTGACTTCATTCCCAGGTCCGAGGAGATCATGGAAGAGGAGTTTGTTGGCCCGGAGGAGTTTGTGAACTTTGTTCACTCCACGGACATGATTCCGTATGTCCTCGCCACAAGCCATGTCGTGAAGAGCCGCATGAAGTATGACACCAAGGGTCGCTCGAAGAATTTCATGTTTTGGATGATTTTCTTGTTTTTGCTGCAGTGCTGTCAAGCAGCACCTCCTACGTGTTTGGTGGATGAACCACCGCCACCGCCGCAGCTGAGCGATGAGCACTGGTTGGCCCTCTTTGCAGCAGCACCCTTGGCGATTGCAGTGATCGCCTTCCTGCTGGGCCGATGGTCGAAAGGTGAAAGGAAAGAGAAGGAAGAGATGAAGATTGAAGAGGAGAAGGTGACCACCGCTGACGCCTTCACTCAGAAGGATGAGCCTGTTGTCCATGCACGACTTCGGGAAGCCCTGAAGACGGAGCAGGCCAGAGTGAATGAGTACAAGCTGGCAGCTCGCGAGTCTCGCCGAGCTGTGGATTTGGCCATGACGGAGATCCTCAACCTTCGTCCGCTCGTGCAGGATGCTGCACCCATGTTCCGTCGCCTGATCACCGCGATGGATGATCACATGGACCAATGCCCGCACCGACAGCCGATCGTAGCCTCCAAGAAGAATGGCATCTGCTGGCACTTTCCCCGTGCCACTGTGCGGAGCAGATCACCGAGCCGAACTTGCTGCGCCTCCGCATTTGTGCCTACTGCGGAGACCATCGCAGTCCGCTCGACTTTCCAAGTCCCTCGACCTCACAGGGAAACTGTTTGAGAGAAGAGGTGACAACGTGGCTGGCTGATTACAATATCTGCCGGTCATGGTTTTCCGATCCTGAGCACAGGTAAGAACATCGCCTGTGTGAGTTGTACGCTGTACAACATGCTTTTGACATGTCACCACCCGTCCCGCTACCGCAGGGCGGGCTCATGAGTCGAAAACGGTCCGCGGACGTGACGCGCTCGCGCGTCGTTCAATTCGCTTCGTGGTGTGTCTTGGCCTTGACTTGCTCTACTTTCCCTACTACGTGGGCCTCGACTATACACCCTTCGCTATCCTGGACCTCGTTTGCCATCGATAGCTTCGCAGTTTCTATTAGACCTTTCTTATTTTAAGTTATTTTTTCCATTAGTGATGGCCTCCAAGCTACTAGCGATTGCCTCCAACCTAAGGGTTTAATACAATGTGCCTGGCCGAAGCCAAGTCTTGCCACTGGCACCGACTGAATGTCCACATCGCACATGCGTGATCGTGATCCAAAGCCCGAAGAGAACATGTGACGTAGAACACGCAAACAAAAAACCTTGGGGCACGGAATTCATTTCATATATGCCTTGGGCTGCGGGCTGCCCATTGTGATACGCAACGTGGCACCCGACACGCTTTCAGCATGCCTAGGATTCGGGTGGTGTTGTTGTAAGGGTCAAATCAATGTTCTCCGCGTCGAATGCTACGTGTTTGTGGCGTGCGGGTGCTCTGCGATGGGTCCCTCAAAGGCACACGGGGAATCGGCTACACAGCTGGGCTGATGTACCCGCTTTGCAAACTGTGCTGAAAGCGGCCGAATACAGACGAAAGCATGTTGTTTCAAGTATCGTATTTCGGTCGCAATCATGTTTATCTTACACGAATGTTACATAGTGTTTAGGTGCATCGCTACTAGTAACAAGTGCATCGCTAGTAGTAACAGGTGCCTTACTAGTAGTAACAAGAAGCTACATAAAGCGTCGAACTGTGTTACACACTGAGTCTCCCAGCATCTGTCCCTGTCACGTCTCCAGCACCATCGGGGTCCTGACCATCGACTTGTTATATATTGCACCCTAGTAACAAGTGCACCGCTACTAGTAGCAAGAAGCTACTAGTAGCTCCTGGCCTTACTACTAGTAACAAGAAACTACTAAGTGCATCGCTACTAGTAGTTTCTTGCTACTAGTAGTACCGCCCTTGTTACTAGTAGCGATGCCCTTGTTACTGATTGAACAAACTGCATTTGCACAAACTGGAACCGAAACATTCTACGAGCTTCACCAAATCGTGTGTGTGTGTGTCAAAGTTCTGTCCTCTGCACAAAATCGGGGATCATTGTCTAAACAAACGCCAGAATAAACCTCCTCAACCAATCCACAAGGAAAAACACATATAGATAAATTTAGAATTGGATGACGTTCCATACAAAGATTGTGCACAAGAGTTCCGAGTTTGCGGCAGGTTTGCCGGGGTCCATACTAAACACAGCCTCGCAAGACACATTGCTTTGATGATGTGCGCATCTATCTGCATGTCTTCAGTGAACAATTGAACAATCTGACACGTTGAGCGTTACTTTTTGAGCAACCGGCGTAGTGCGGGTTGAAGATCATGACCTCATTGAGCCTCCGACGTTTTGGGGCAAAGTCCTGCGAGTCAAAGCAAAGAGACAAAGCAACCAAGCGCGGAACCTCTCAAACTAGTAGCTAGAAGCTAGGAACAAAGGGCATCGCTACTAGTAACAAGTGCATCGCTACTAGTAAGAAGTGCATCGCTACTAGTAAGGAGTGCATCGCTACTAGTAACAAGTGCATCGCTACTAGTAAGAAGTGCATCGCTAATAGTAACAAGTGCATCGCTACTAGTAACAAGTGCATCGCTACTAGAAACAAGTGCATCGCTACTACTAACAAGTGCATCGCTACTAGTAACAAGTGCATCGCTACTACTAACAAGTGCATCGCTACTAGTAAGAAGTGCATCGCTACTAGTCACAAGTGCATCGCTACTAGTAACAAGTGCATCGCTACTAGTAAGAAGTGCATCGCTACTAGTAACAAGTGCATCGCTACTAGTAAGAAGTGCATCGCTACTAGAAACAAGTGCATTGCTACTAGTAACAAGTGCATCGCTACTAGAAACAAGTGCATCGCTACCAGTAACACGTGCATCGCTACCAGTAACACGTGCATCGCTACTAGTAACAAGTGCATCGATACTAGTAACAAGTGCGTCGCTACTAGTAACAAGTGCATCGCTACTAGTAACAAGTGCATCGCTACTAGTAACAAGTGCATCGCTACTAGTAACAAGTGCATCGATACTAGTAACAAGTGCATCGCTACTAGTAACAAGACCATCGCTACTAGTAAGAAGTGCATCGCTACTAGTAAGAAGTGCATCG